TTGATCAAGCCTTGATCAAGTTATATTTGATTAAAGTTTTAAAAAATTTTATTAAAAAAAATTTGGTGCATTTCCACTAACTCACCTCATATATACACAAGAAATAAGCATATATAGAAATAAAATATAGATATTCTATAGAATAGGTGGGCAAACTCCGCAAACTCTGCAACTCTGCTGTTAAAAAATTAATGATTACTAATCATTAGCAAAGCTTATTTTTATTTTGCCTACCTATTCTATAGAATATCCTAAAATATTTACAAAAGCAAAAATCAAGAAGTCTGTATTTCCCATTATATAAAAAATAAATACATACAAAGAAATTTATAAACTTTGTAAAGTTTCAGAATAGAAAGAATAATCAAAAGATCTATTTTGGAGTCTATCTACAATTAAATGAAGAAAATATAAGGGTAAATGTTTTTATCAATTAGGATAACAAGAAATACAGACTTTTTAGCTCGAAGAAGTGCATCATTAGTGAATCTTCTTTCATCTGGGATTACTACAAGACCAACAGTACCACTTGATTCCTGAGTAAGAACCTCATCAAGGTAAATAACAACAGAGAGACCTATGATAATTTTAACATCTTTAAATTTAATTAACTTTAAAATAAGTATTAATATTTTTTATTACTAATTAGTAGAGATGGGCAAATCGCAGGTTTTTCAAAAATCCCACACATCACGCGTGGATCCCATACATGATGCACATCTCGCACAAGATTCATTAAACCAAGATATTGTAGTTGATCCTCGATTTTGATTGGCCAATGACTGTGATCACAAAATTCTGACCCGCATTTATAATATAATATAGATTAGGGTAGATAAACAATAGGAGATAAATACTATAAGATAAACACTATGATATAAGACAAACTATATGAAACAAAAATGCTCTGTGATTGGTGCCTTTTGTTTTTGCTACACAGATCTTGAATGGGTACATATATATATATATACATAGATAAACAGCACTGTATAGGATATAATTTGCAAGTGGTATTACATGGATCATATAGAACTAGTGAATATATTATACTGCACTGAAAACCTATACTATACTGAGCTATCTAATTAATTTAATAAATTTAATACCATGCTCAACAGCATGGGTATTTGCTAGTTATATATAATTTTGGCCAAAATTTGATTTTTTAAGGTTTTAGCTGACCGGGTAAAATCGCTATCCAAAAAAGTTTAACTACTCCAAGAGTACAGGTGAGACTGTCCCAAATATGAAAATCGATTCCAATATGGTTACACACAAATACCAACCAACCGTATTGTAACTTTTGCAAGTCACCTGCACACCAGCCAATCAGATTGCAAAAAAAAAGTTGTTGGATTAAAATGGATTAAGCAGATATGTTGTAAAGAAAAGTGAAAGCATTAATTTATCTGTAATATTTACTTGTATCTTGTCGAAATTAGGCTATCCGGGCTTTTTTAAAAAATGTATTGTAAAACGTATAAAAAAAATTGGTTATCAATTATGTAACGATCGGGTGACTCAGGTATTTATTTCCAAATTTGGGACGGTCTCACCTGTACTCCAAGAGCACCATCAAAAATTTTTCAAAACGTGACTACAAGCCAATCACAGTTGAAGATCAGGTGTAATGTAACTCTAATGTAACACGATCAGAAAAATTAAAAACAATTGTTCTTTTTGCTAAAAATTGCCCATAACTCAAAAAACTGCATAGGAAACTATCTTTAGTACACTAACAAAAAGTTTTCTTTGGGCAATTTTACTATATATTTTGCTAACAATAAATGCTAATATAAACGTTAACCTTAGTATTAACAAACTTTTAAAAATTTTATTATCGAAAAATTTTGAGGAAATTACACATCGGGACCCAAATTTGAAAATAATTCTGAATCCAGAACGCAACAAAAAAAATTGTTGAAGAAAACATAATGGTAACAAATG